TTCATTCCTCGTATTTCTCTCACAAGAGAGGCATGCGAGAGGGCAAAGATACACGATGGGAGTAATTATAGGAGAGGGCCGTGAGAGGGCATGGAAGAAACTATGGAGAGCAGAATTTTGCAGAGGCCCGGCAGGAACGACCCGAGATAATGTGTACGTGGTGCAGCGGGACAGCGACGGGCGAGGGCGAGCCGGGGCGCCGCGAGGCGCGGTCCGCGCTCGAGGCGACTTGTGAGCTGCCCACAGCTACGTGCGATCGCCTCCTCGCCCAGCGCACTAGCAGCGCGGCAAGTGCCGCATGCGATGGAAAAGCGGGAAGGTGGAGAAGACGTGAGTGGGGCCGCGTGGGGGTGAGCAGGCTATGTGGAAGGCCCTCAACACAACAAATGGCGGCTTGACGAGGCAGTACCTTGAACCAGGCAGGACCTAGAACGAGGCAGCACCTTGAACGAGGCAGCACCTGAACGAGGCAGCACCTTGAACCAGGCAGGACCTAGAACGAGGCAGCACCTTGAACGAGGCAGCACCTTGAACGAGGCAGCACCTTGAACGAGGCAGCACCTTGAACGAGGCAGCACCTTGAACACGCAGTGCAAGCGAGAGGCATTGCCAATCACACCATGATCGCTCCACCACTCCACGGGTCGGCCGGTCGCGCCAACCCCCACCGCCTCTGCTGCCGCCAACGGCCTTCCCGACATGCGGTCGCCCCCTCCACTCACACTCCACGTCGCTGCCACCAGATCGGCGCGCAGCGAAACCTAAAGCTCTGCGTTGACGTGGACACTGCCTCAACCCGACGCCCTACGATGAGAATCCTCGCCGCTTGCTATCGATAAGTTCCAATCGCGGGCCATTTCGCGATGCGAGGAGCAGGACGCTGCGGCATCTGCCATGGCCACGAGTCTACTGCTCGCGTCGCGTTGACGTGTGTAACAAAGTGACCAGGTGAGGGAGGTCTTGGAGAGGATGAGATGAGAAAGGAGCATGGTCTCAAGGTTGCGTTCCCCTTTCGGTTTCGAATTGTACCGCACGATTAGGGCGTGTAAAATTGTAACGACCAAACGCTATGGTCGATTATTTGGGCGTTTCTGGCGATTGCGAGGAATTGGGTTTACGCCGATGGGAGTAGTCACCCCGGTCTGACCGATTTTCAGTGGTAAGTTCGGAACAGAGATTTACGCACCGCAATTTGGGACATGATTAAACTGATGCTCAGCGGGGAGATATTGTTTTTCCGTTTACCTAAACCCACTGCTTTGGTAAACACTCTACTCTAGGCTTCACATCCCCCGTAATCCACACCCCTTTCAATTGTAGTAAGGGAATCGAAAAATTTCCTTTTTAATTAAGGGGGTGGTTTGGGGTGGGTGCCCCAAATGCTGACGAACTTTGTGGCGGGGTCGCTTAAGTGTTACAAATTTCGCACTCGCCAGCAACGCCCAAATGATCGACCATAGCGTTTGGTCGTTACAATTTTACACGCCCTTAGCACAAGGATCTTGGTTCCATAGGAATCAGGACGCGTCCCCTGAAGCGGATCGATCGGCTGTAGGATCGGTTTTGCGCGTGGGGTGTACCACTGTAGCATCGTAATCAACCCGGTAACCCAATGTCGCGGATGTTAACGAAAGTACAGTTCAAATGTCCTTTTGATCCTGTCACCTGTACAAACCCAGATCGATATAGGGAGGGCCCATATCGATCGTGGGATTGGGGGGCGTGGTGTGGGACTTCGCGCCACGGGTGACAGGCACGATCGATCGCCTTAGATCCTCATCGTGAAGTCACTGAGCGATGTCGTACACAAAGGGTTGCGTTGTTCGCGCATATGCGACACTTTTTCGTCGTCGCGTGCGACTCCAGAGGAGTTGTCGCAGGTTGGGTGTACCAGACCCGAAACCTGCCCGTCCAAACCTGTCACCTGTATATCGGTGTTGCAGCTGCCATCGTAGTTTTGCAGTCCCGGGCACCAATCGCTGCCGAGCCTGGGCTCAAAATGAAGATCAGTGCGGATCGGCCGAACCTTGGCCGAACCGCTTCAGGTGACGCGTCCTCAGACATGGTGGGCTGTTGTGCTGACGGAACTTTTCGAACGGCGGAGAGTGGTTCGAGGTGCTGTCGAAACTGTGGCTAGCCAACACTCCCACATCGCCTCCGAATTCAAACCGTGCAACCCCCAGCGTTGCTCCTACCGTGCCGAACCGAACCATTTCTCTCTCCCCCACTGCCCTGCCCATCCACCCATCCCACTCTCTTCAGCATCACGCGCAATTCACGATTCACAACACTACACCAAATTGGTTAGGGCGTGGGCCCAATCGAGTTTGATCGCGACTGATCTGATCGGGTTGGATCTGATCGGGTTGCTTGTGATCGTAGTGCCCGAGCCGCCCGATCAGAGATGATTTTCCGAGAAGGTTCACAGCGTCTGCTCAGCAAGCGCGATACATTTGCGTGGCATTTTCATCACCATTTTAGCGAGACTGACGACCAGGCTTCACCTGACGAAAATCTTCGTTTCGCTGTAAGTGCAACAGTGTAACCACTCGCAAGCATCGCTGGGTGCCCCGATCACAAGCAATCAATAGATTGCCTGTGATCGAGGAAAATCGACTCTGATCGGGGTCAAAATCGGGTCTGATCGAGGTTGGGCGATCAGCTGATCGCGATCAGCTGATTGCCCCTGATTGCCTGAATTTGGCTTCCAGGCTTCCTGGAAATTATTGATCGTGGCTGATCGAGGCGATCAAACCCGATTGGGCCCACGCCCTTAGCTGATGACTAGAACGATAGATTATCCAGTGGACTGGGTTTCTGTGGTTAGTTTAGCGTAGGATCTCCCTTAGTTTCATGACAAGTCCCTGCACGTGGTAGCCCCGATTTCAACTGCTGTCTTGGCCCCAACACGAACGCATAGAGTGACAGGGTCGCCCTCAGAGTGGAATCGTAAGGGCAACTGTTGGGGCTCCTCGTCCTCCAACTTGAAGTTCTGAGCCCACACCTCGCGACAGTCTGCTCCAGAGTTTCACATCTTTCTGATGAGCGCGGGGGCGGGGGAGCAGCATGGGGGTTGGCTTCCCGCGCGCGTGATTCACGTGCTGCGCGAGGAGGCGGGCGGGCGGAAGCTGAGCGGAGCGTACGCGTGCGTGGTGGTGGGGGGCACGTTCGACCGCCTGCACGACGGCCACCGCCTGCTGCTCCGGGTGGGTGCCGCGCATCATGATGGCGCGCACTGGGCATGGCGCGCACTGGGCATGGCGCGCACTGGGCATGTCGAGTCACAGCATTCCACCTCCCACAACCCCGCATGTCCGTCGCTACCCCTGCCTGCCTGCACTGTATCCTCACCGGTGGGGCAAAACGTGTTAACGAGAGGCCGTCGCGATTGCGGGTAAGCCGTGCGAGTCCGCAGACTCACACTTGGCGTCCTCTCTGTCGCCTCACCTCACCTGCCGCACGTAATGCCCATCTCAATTGGCCTCTTCGCCATGATTGCAGACAGCAGCGGCAGCAGCGCGGGAGCGAGTGGTGGTGGGGATCACGGTGGGGCGCATGCTGCAGTCCAAAGAGGTGCGCGCACCTCCACCTCCGCCCTGCACCGCTCCGCTTTGCACCTTGCCGCTTTGCACCTTGCCGCTTTGCACCTTGCCGCTTTGCACCTTGCCGCTTTGCACCTTGCCGCTTTGCACCTTGCCGCTTTGCACCTTGTTGCTTTGCACCTTGCCGCTTTGCACCTTGCCGCTTTGCACCTTGCCGCTTTGCACCTTGCCGCTTTGCACCTTGCCGCTTTGCACCTTGTTGCTTTGCACCTTGCCGCTTTGTACCTTGCCGCTTTGCACCTTGCCGCTTTGCACCTTGCCGCTTTGCACCTTGCCGCTTTGCACCTTGCCGCTTTGCACCTTGTTGCTTTGCACCTTGCCGCTTTGTACCTTGCCGCTTTGCACCTTGCCGCTTTGCACCTTGCCGCTTTGCACCTTGCCGCTTTGCACCTTGCCGCTTTGCACCTTGTTGCTTTGCACCTTGCCGCTTTGTACCTTGCCGCTTTGCACCTTGCCGCTTTGCACCTTGCCGCTTTGCACCTTGCCGCTTTGCACCTTGCCGCTTTGCACCTTGCCGCTTTGCACCTTGCCGCTTTGCACCTTGCCGCTTTGCACCTTGCCGCTTTGCACCTTGCCGCTTTGCACCTTGTTGCTTTGCACCTTGCCGCTTTGCACCTTGCCGCTTTGCACCTTGCCGCTTTGCACCTTGCCGCTTTGCACCTTGCCGCTTTGCACCTTGCCGCTTTGCACCTTGCCGCTTTGCACCTTGTTGCTTTGCACCTTGTTGCTTTGCACCTTGCCGCTTTGCACCTTGCCGCTTTGCACCTTGCCGCTTTGCACCTTGCCGCTTTGCACCTTGCCGCTTTGCACCTTGCCGCTTTGCACCTTGTTGCTTTGCACCTTGTTGCTTTGCACCTTGCCGCTTTGCACCTTGCCGCTTTGTACCTTGCCGCTTTGCACCTTGCCGCTTTGCACCTTGCCGCTTTGCACCTTGCCGCTTTGCACCTTGCCGCTTTGCACCTTGTTGCTTTGCACCTTGCCGCTTTGTACCTTGCCGCTTTGCACCTTGCCGCTTTGCACCTTGCCGCTTTGCACCTTGCCGCTTTGCACCTTGCCGCTTTGCACCTTGCCGCTTTGCACCTTGCCGCTATGCACCTTGCCGCTTTGCACCTTGCCGCTTTGCACCTTGTTGCTTTGCACCTTGCCGCTTTGCACCTTGCCGCTTTGCACCTTGCCGCTTTGCACCTTGCCGCTTTGCACCTTGCCGCTTTGCACCTTGCCGCTTTGCACCTTGTTGCTTTGCACCTTGTTGCTTTGCACCTTGCCGCTTTGCACCTTGCCGCTTTGCACCTTGCCGCTTTGCACCTTGCCGCTTTGCGCTACGTGAGCGCTAGCACCTTCACGCCTGTGTCCAAGCAGCCACATGCTTTTCCCCCTGTGACTCTGACCACTCCTTGTATGCCCTGTTGGTCGTGGTGGGTGTGCGGGCAGCAGCTGTGCGAGCTGATTCAACCCTTTGAGCAGCGGCAACAGGCCGTCACCCATTTCATCCAGGTGCGCTGGCTTGCACCGCTGGCTTGCACCGCTGCCCTCCTCTCACGCTTCCACGTGCCCGCCTCCTCTCACGCTTCCACGTGCCCGCCTCCTCTCACGCTTCCACGTGCCCGCATCCTCTCACGCGTGTCTCTGCTTCTCTGTACAGCCCTTTTAAACCACTCTCTTGCGTGTCAAGCATTTCAGCTCTACTTTTCCCCGCTCACCCCCTGTCCCTCTTCCTCCCAATCCCTCCTCCCTTGCTGCGTCCCATCTCTCACTGATGGACGTTCCACCGCGCCATTCTGCATTCTCTCATGCGTGCATGCGCCATGCTGCATGGTGTGGCCATGGTGGTTGGGGCGAGAGCACGGAGCAGGGGGAGAAGGCGGGAGTGGGGGTGGAGGCAGTGGCGATAGACGACCCCTTCGGCCCCGCCATCACCGACCCTCACATGGACGCCATCGCTGTCAGGTGCTCTGCTCTGCTCCCAACCCATCCCCGTCAGGTGCTCTGCTCCCAACCCATCGCTGTCAGGTGCTCTGCTCCCAACCCATCCCATTCACCACCTCTCTCTCGCTTTTCAGTTGAGCTTTATATGTGGATGCCCATGTGTGGATGCCCATGTGTGGATGCCCATGTGTGGATGCCCATGTGTGGATGCCCATGTGTGGATGCCCATGTGTGGATGCCCATGTGTGGATGCCCATGTGTGGATGCCCATGTGTGGATGCCCATGTGTGGATGCCCATGTGTGGATGCCCATGTGTGGATGCCCATGTATGGATGCCCATGTGTGGAAGGTATTTCGGGGCCGTGACATTGCACCTCAGTTACGATGAATGAAGCAAAAAATCATGCTGCAGGTATGTTGTTGAGTTGTTTCCCTTGCTCAATCCCGTACCGCAGTGTTGAGACGGAGAAAGGAGCCCATGCAGTGAATGAGAGGCGCGCCGCCAATGGGCTCAAGCCACTGGATGTGAGTCATGGTGGGGGGTGCGAGTGATGGCAGTACTCATGGGGTTGAATGTGCATGAGTGCTCATGCGAGTCATGCCACGACATCTCTTCCACTAACCCCCGGTTCCCTCAACCTTGCTGTACATGTGTCTTATCCCACGGCGCGTGTGTGTGTGGCATGGCATCAGGTGATAGTGGTGCATCTGGTGGACGAGGGCGGCGGGCATGCGTGCATGGACGCCAAGATCAGCTCCACTCAGCTCAGGCACCGGGACAAGCAGCGCCTTAACGCACACTGATGCTGGGTGGTGTGTGGAAGGCGGGTGGTGCATGGGGAAGGCGGGTGGTGCGTGGGGAAGGCGGGTGGTGCGTGGGGAAGGCGGGTGGTGCGTGGGGAAGGCGGGTGGTGCGTGGGGAAGGCGGGTGGTGCATGGGGAAGGCGGGTGGTGCGTGGGGAAGGCGGGTGGTGCGTGGGGAAGGCGGGTGGTGCGTGGGGAAGGCGGGTGGTGCGTGGGGAAGGCGGGTGGTGCGTGGGGAAGGCGGGTGGTGCGTGGGGAAGGCGGGTGGTGCGTGGGGAAGGCGGGTGGTGCATGGGGAAGGCGGGTCTGGGACCAAACGAGGGTTGGTGCGTGCCAGCCGGGAAGCAGGGAAGAGCAAAGACCACAGTAGGAGCTGCTGCCGCCCATTGTGTGGCGCACAGCGGCAGAGAGCAGAGCTGGATCCACCTTGCATTCGGTGCTGTTGCTTGCCGCTGCTGCCAGGGCAGGCAGGGTGGGCAGAGGCGGACAGGGGTGACGAGTGGGATGGGAGGGATAGGTGGGAGGGGAGGGGAGAGGGGGGAGGGAGGGAGGGCGTTGTGGGGAAGTGGCACGCATTGAGGGCAGCAGCGAGTGGTGGGTGGTAGAGGAGAGAGGCAGGGAGATGCGAGAGAAGGAGGGAGATCCCCCTCCTTCTTCATGTCCGCCCAACACACCCTCTCTTTTCACCCATCTCCCCTCCTTCCCATCCTCCTCTCTCTCTCACTTCCCTCCCCACCCTCCAAGCAGCAACCCCTATTGTACAGATTCCTCCCTCTCACCTTTGTTCCTATTGGATCGAAGCAGAGTCGATGCCGCCCGGTGCTGTGTGCAACTGCTGTGGGCCACATATGTGCAGCGCAGAGGCAGTGAGTGCGGGAGAGCAAGTGGAAGGCAGAGGCAGAAAGTAGAGTGGAGAAGAGGAGCGGGGACAGCAGCAGCAAGTACAGCAGGCAACGCACGTGTCCTTGTGGCTACTGCACTTGCCTGCAATACAGTGCAGTCTCTGTGCTCTGCGCTGCAGTGCAGCACTGCAGGGCAATATTGTGCTGTCCGTGCATTGTCATAGCAGCAACCACCAGTGGTTCTCTTGTGCTTGGGCTATGTTTGAAAGGCCAGCAAGCAATGCTGGTGGCGTTGGTCTGAGAAAGAAATATTTAAAATCATGCACCCTTGCTCCACTTCGAAGCACTGACATCCAAATAAATCCAATGCACCAGTTACAAGATCAACGCACTAGAGTGAACTTTCTTTGTCAGGTCTCTATAGCATGCTATTGCTTTCCTTTCAGGAACAAATGAAACCATTACCCATAATCCCCCAGATATATGACCCACCCAAAACAGAACACCCTCGAATAGCTAATACGGGGGGGAGGCTATATTAAACATGAAACTCATGCAGCACGTTGCCGTGAGCAGGCCGCCCCCCCAGCACCGTGAGCGTGCGCGCATCGAGGTTGAAGAGCGCGCTGTGCAGCGTGTGGATCACCGGGCCTGGTGGTAGCAGGCGCGATGCAGGGGGGAAAGGGGAAGGAGGATGGGAGAGGTACCGTATGAGTGGTGCTTGCAGGGACGGTGGGAGATGAGCAGCGGCATGCAGGATCGAGATGTGTGCTGTGGAGAGTGTGGATCACAGGGCCTATCGGCAGTCAACAGACCTCATACACCCGCGCACTCCATCACTTACCTCCTCCTATCATCTGCCCCCTTGTCGCACGCCACACCAATATCCCTCCTCATACTTCTCCACGCTAAACCCCTCACCTCCCAAATTGCTCATTGAGGATGAAATACTCATTGCCTCACACTCACCCACCACCCACACTGCTCTACCTGCACCACTTGCCACTCCAGCACAGCACTGAAGCCCACATGCGAGCAGTGCACCCCTCATATCGTACACCTTGCCGGCATTGAAGATGGGAAAGTCCTCGTCGTCCGCGTTGGAAAGAATCTGGTAACGGGACACGCAGACGCATGAGAAAGCAGGGTGAGAGGGAGGGGTGAGACGGACGGGTGAGCGGGCAGGTAAGAAGGAGGGGTGATAGGAGGGGATTGAGGGCGGGGTGAGAGGGAGGGGTGAGAGGGAGGGGTGAGAGGGAAACATGGAAGAGAGGCGTGGGAGAGAGGTGAATTTGAGTAGACTCACGATTCAACTCGACGGGTGTGGGAGGGAAGCGTGGGACATGGAGAGCCTCATTGGAGAGCAGATGATCCAAACCACTTCTGCGGATTCTCATCAATACGCCATCACTCACACCACCCTGCAACAACGAACCACTAATCACCTAAAAAACAGTCATGCATGGAGCACTGGTTGCCAGCTATGCATGAGAGAGAAGGATACCAACCAGCCAGTTCGTTCCAATCACCACTTGCTCTCCCATTGCCACACACCTACTCGTTATCGTCACACTCACTTGAAGCATGCCCTGGGTGGTGGTGGGCGCGCCCAGGCGTGTGGCAGTGGCCTGGCGGCGGTGCGAGCTGGGGCCCATCTTCTCCCGCACCTGCAGCCGCGTGTACGCGTTGGCGTGGAACACATAGGCCGTGCCTTCATCACCACCACTACCAGCACCAGCAGCAGCAGTGTCAGATCCGCTCACTCCTCTCTCGCTCTCCTCCCTTCCCACTTCTACCGCCTTCTCCCCTTCTGACTCCCCCTGGCTTCTCAGCTGGGGGTTTCGGCCCAGCTCCAGAATGCTATGCCGGCCGTTGGATGCGGTTTCGACGGACACGATTCGCCGGCGGGCAAAGTCCATCAGCACGTAGTGATGTCCCACTGCCACTGCTGGACCAGTCACGCGCTGCCATGTGGCAACGGCCGAGTGGGAGGCGGGTGCCAGGGGGAAGGGGGAGAGGAAGGAGAGAGGTGGGGAAGGAGAGTGAAATTAGCAAGAGTTATATTTGCAGCAATAGAAAACGGAGAATCACAGGGTCATGGTAGAACCAAATCACAGGGTCATGGTAGAACCAAATCACAGGGTCCAAAGGGCTACGTGATTTCTTCCCTCTCATTTAAGCATCCCCACTCTCACACGCCCAAGAATTTTGACCTGAATAATCCCCACTTGTCGCAGTCACACTCATTCAGCCACATTCGTTGGTCTACTTGGTCCCACTCGTTAATCACACTTTACAGTCACAGCAGTTACAATCATATTCGTCCAACCTGCAGGGCGTCCTCAATGCAGCGCGCCTCCATGAGGCTGCGCGCGAGGAAGTTGCGCGCGATGCCGCCCCGCACCACCTCGGATGGCGCTGGTGGCACCGCGTCCATGGTGAACGCCTGGGGAGAGGCAAGGGGAAGAGGGTGGAGAGCACAGGAGCGAGAACGGATGACGCGAGTAACAGAGGCTGCCAGCAACAAAGTTCCGCCCTATGCCTCAGTTCACCACTTGACAACCACATGCAGGCAGGCCGGCGGGCGGGGTGGCAGGCAGGGGTTTGAAGCACTGGCGTTGCTCTTCTTATGAGGGCATTGCTGAAGGCGCATAGCATCGGGAAAAGTTCTGAGATGTCCCAAACCCAGGCATCGTGAGCAGCAGAGCTGCGCAGGCGTGCAAGGGAGGCAGGCAGGCAGTTTGATGTCTGACCATGGCAGTGTCGTTGAAGGCAAAGGCAACGGAGGGCAGCTCGCCCGCATAGGTGTACGCCGTGACTGCCAGCCCGCTGCCCGTGTGCATGTGGATGAAGAAACTGAGAGGACATGAGACGGGGTGCAGGGGAGGAAAGAAAGAGAGGATGTTGTGAGCATTGGGGAATGACATGGAATGGGAGTGCATGGAATAGCAGGGCGTGACATGCCGTGGAATGGCATAGCGACGGCAAAGCATGGGCATGGGCATGGGCATGTGCATGTGCATGTGCATGTGCATGTGCATGTGCATGGGCATGTGCATGTGCATGGGCATGGGCATGTGGAACCCTGCACATGTGGGCATGACATGACAATTCACGAGTTATCCACAATTGAGTAATCGGCATCCTCGTTGTGTCCCACTGCTGCCACGTCATCAGTGAGCAGCAGCACGTCAGTGCAGTCGTCAGATGCTATGCCATACTGCGTCCGCCTGTCCAACGTGGCAGACTCTGGCAGCACTGCTGACGTGGCAGGCGCGTTGAGGGAGGGCAAGAAGGCACCGAACTCCTTGCGGAGATTCAGAAGCAGCAGCTGACGTGGACGGAGTGGGTGACAGGTACAGCAGGGCCGGGAGGAATGCGATAGGGTTGGTGTGTGCTATGGGTGAGAATTTAGGGTACAAACGAGAGGAGAGGAAGAGAGCGGCATGGGCAGGGGGATGGCCAGGGGTGGGAAGAGGAGAAGTTTTCGTTGAAGAACAGAGAGAGGAACACACGCCACGCATGGCCGGCGATCCAGGTCAGCTGCGGTGCGGGGCAGTTGATGGGCCCACGTGGTCAAAGGGCAGTTGATGGGCCCACCTGGTCAAAGGGCAGTTGATGGGCCCACCTGGTCAAAGGGCAGTTGATGGGCCCACGTGGTCAAAGGGCAGTTGATGGGCCCACGTGGTCAAAGGGCAGTTGATGGGCCCACCTGGTCAAAGGGCAGTTGATGGGCCCACGTGGTCAAAGGGCAGTTGATGGGCCCACGTGGTCAAAGGGCAGTTGATGGGCCCACGTGGTCAAAGGGCAGTTGATGGGCCCACGTGGTCAAAGGGCAGTTGATGGGCCCACGTGGTCAAAGGGCACGGTGCTGCCCGCCGCCATGCCGCGCAGCTCCTCCCAGTACTCCGGGTACAGCGCCCTGCCATGGCCGGGGGGGTGGGAGGGGAGGAGGGGAGGGGGAGAATGGGCGGGGTTAAGTTTGAGTCAACTGGAAAGTCGGCCGTCAGTGGCGCGGGGTACTATGCACGTGAGTGGAACGGAGAGGAGAGGCGGGACGCGAGTGATGGTGAGGTACTCCTGTGCGGGCATGATTGAATCCTGCAGCACTGGCGTGGGCACGGCATCACAGCATGGCACTGGTAGCGTTTGCGGAGCTAAGGGGTATGAAGAGGGAAAGGACGGGAGAGGGGGCTTTGGAGTCGAGTGGAGAATTGGAAGAGCAACAGCATGATGAGCTTGCATGGGACGAGGCAAGGGCAGCACAGAGGACGGAAACGAACGTGAGGATGCACGACGGTGTGGCGTGAGGGACAAGCGAGTGGAAACCAAGTTCCAATTGGACGTGTCGGTTGAGACGAAATCGTTGTGGCTGGCTCGTTACGAGTGGCATCACGACCACACATGTCTGCACGGCATCTTGCTCAGAAGCATCGGCTCGAAATGCAGCAGTCACCTGTTGGACTCGGAATTCAGCAGTCACCTGTTGGACTCGGAATGCAGCAGTCACCTGTTGGACTCGGAATGCAGCAGTCACCTGTTGGACTCCGAATGCAGCAGTCACCTGCTGGACTCGGAATGCAGCAGTCACCTGCTGGACTCGGAATGCAGCAGTCACCTGCTGGACTCGGAATGCAGCAGTCACCTGCTGGACTCGGAATGCAGCAGTCACCTGCTGGACTCGGAATGCAGCAGTCACCTGCTGGACTCGGAATGCAGCAGTCACCTGCTGGACTCGGAATGCAGCAGTCACCTGCTGGACTCGGAATGCAGCAGTCACCTGCTGGACTCGGAATGCAGCAGTCACCTGCTGGACTCGGAATGCAGCAGTCACCTGCTGGACTCGGAATGCAGCAGTCACCTGCTGGACTCGGAATGCAGCAGTCACCTGCTGGACTCGGAATGCAGCAGTCACCTGCTGGACTCGGAATGCAGCAGTCACCTGCTGGACTCGGAATGCAGCAGTCACCTGCTGGACTCGGAATGCAGCAGTCACCTGCTGGACTCGGAATGCAGCAGTCACCTGCTGGACTCGGAATGCAGCAGTCACCTGCTGGACTCGGAATGCAGCAGTCACCTGCTGGACTCGGAATGCAGCAGTCACCTGCTGGACTCGGAATGCAGCAGTCACCTGCTGGACTCGGAATGCAGCAGTCACCTGCTGGACTCGGAATGCAGCAGTCACCTGCTGGACTCGGAATGCAGCAGTCACCTGCTGGACTCGGAATGCAGCAGTCACCTGCTGGACTCGGAATGCAGCAGTCACCTGCTGGACTCGGAATGCAGCAGTCACCTGCTGGACTCGGAATGCAGCAGTCACCTGCTGGACTCGGAATGCAGCAGTCACCTGCTGGACTCGGAATGCAGCAGTCACCTGCTGGACTCGGAATGCAGCAGTCACCTGCTGGACTCGGAATGCAGCAGTCACCTGCTGGACTCGGAATGCAGCAGTCACCTGCTGGACTCGGAATGCAGCAGTCACCTGCTGGACTCGGAATGCAGCAGTCACCTGCTGGACTCGGAATGCAGCAGTCACCTGCTGGACTCGGAATGCAGCAGTCACCTGCTGGACTCGGAATGCAGCAGTCACCTGCTGGACTCGGAATGCAGCAGTCACCTGCTGGACTCGGAATGCAGCAGTCACCTGCTGGACTCGGAATGCAGCAGTCACCTGCTGGACTCGGAATGCAGCAGTCACCTGCTGGACTCGGAATGCAGCAGTCACCTGCTGGACTCGGAATGCAGCAGTCACCTGCTGGACTTGGAATGCAGCAGTCATCTGCTGGACTCGGAATGCAGCAGTCACCTGCTGGACTCGGAATGCAGCAGTCACCTGCTGGACTCGGAATGCAGCAGTCACCTGCTGGACTCGGAATGCAGCAGTCACCTGTTGGACTCGGAATGCAGCAGTCACTTGATGGACTCGGAATGCAGCAGTCACCTGCTGGACTCGGAATGCAGCAGTCACCTGTTGGACTCGGAATGCAGCAGTCACCTGTTGGACTCGGAATGCAGCAGTCACCTGTTGGACTCGGAATGCAGCAGTCACCTGTTGGACTCGGAATGCAGCAGTCACCTGTTGGACTCGGAATGCAGCAGTCACATGTTGGACTCGGAATGCAGCAGTCACCTGCTGGACTCGGAATGCAGCAGTCACCTGCTGGACTCGGAATGCAGCAGTCACCTGTCGGACTCGGAATGCAGCAGTCACCTGTCGGACTCGGAATGCAGCAGTCACCTGCTGGAATCGGAATGCAGCAGTCACCTGCTGGACTCGGAATGCAGCAGTCACCTGCTGGACTCCGAATGCATCAGTCACCTGCTGGAGTCGGAATGCATCAGTCACCTGCTGGACTCCGAATGCAGCAGTCACCTGTCGGACTCGGAATGCAGCAGTCACCTGTTGGACTCGGAATGCAGCAGTCACCTGCTGGACTCGGAATGCAGCAGTCACCTGCTGGACTCGGAATGCAGCAGTCACCTGCTGGACTCGGAATGCAGCAGTCACCTGCTGGACTCGGAATGCAGCAGTCACCTGCTGGACTCGGAATGCAGCAGTCACCTGTTGGACTCGGAATGCAGCAGTCACCTGCTGGACTCCGAATGCAGCAGTCACCTGCTGGACTCGGAATGCAGCAGTCACCTGCTGGACTCGGAATGCAGCAGTCACCTGCTGGACTCGGAATGCAGCAGTCACCTGCTGGACTCGGAATGCAGCAGTCACCTGCTGGACTCGGAATGCAGCAGTCACCTGCTGGACTCGGAATGCAGCAGTCACCTGCTGGACTCGGAATGCAGCAGTCACCTGCTGGACTCGGAATGCAGCAGTCACCTGCTGGACTCGGAATGCAGCAGTCACCTGCTGGACTCGGAATGCAGCAGTCACCTGCTGGACTCGGAATGCAGCAGTCACCTGCTGGACTCGGAATGCAGCAGTCACCTGCTGGACTCGGAATGCAGCAGTCACCTGCTGGACTCGGAATGCAGCAGTCACCTGCTGGACTCGGAATGCAGCAGTCACCTGCTGGACTCGGAATGCAGCAGTCACCTGCTGGACTCGGAATGCAGCAGTCACCTGCTGGACTCGGAATGCAGCAGTCACCTGCTGGACTCGGAATGCAGCAGTCACCTGCTGGACTCGGAATGCAGCAGTCACCTGCTGGACTCGGAATGCAGCAGTCACCTGCTGGACTCGGAATGCAGCAGTCACCTGCTGGACTCGGAATGCAGCAGTCACCTGCTGGACTCGGAATGCAGCAGTCACCTGCTGGACTCGGAATGCAGCAGTCACCTGCTGGACTCGGAATGCAGCAGTCACCTGCTGGACTCGGAATGCAGCAGTCACCTGCTGGACTCGGAATGCAGCAGTCACCTGCTGGACTCGGAATGCAGCAGTCACCTGCTGGACTCGGAATGCAGCAGTCACCTGCTGGACTCGGAATGCAGCAGTCACCTGCTGGACTCGGAATGCAGCAGTCACCTGCTGGACTCGGAATGCAGCAGTCACCTGCTGGACTCGGAATGCAGCAGTCACCTGCTGGACTCGGAATGCAGCAGTCACCTGCTGGACTCGGAATGCAGCAGTCACCTGCTGGACTCGGAATGCAGCAGTCACCTGCTGGACTCGGAATGCAGCAGTCACCTGCTGGACTCGGAATGCAGCAGTCACCTGCTGGACTCGGAATGCAGCAGTCACCTGCTGGACTCGGAATGCAGCAGTCACCTGCTGGACTCGGAATGCAGCAGTCACCTGCTGGACTCGGAATGCAGCAGTCACCTGCTGGACTCGGAATGCAGCAGTCACCTGCTGGACTCGGAATGCAGCAGTCACCTGCTGGACTCGGAATGCAGCAGTCACCTGCTGGACTCGGAATGCAGCAGTCACCTGCTGGACTCGGAATGCAGCAGTCACCTGCTGGACTCGGAATGCAGCAGTCACCTGCTGGACTCGGAATGCAGCAGTCACCTGCTGGACTCGGAATGCAGCAGTCACCTGCTGGACTCGGAATGCAGCAGTCACCTGCTGGACTCGGAATGCAGCAGTCACCTGCTGGACTCGGAATGCAGCAGTCACCTGCTGGACTCGGAATGCAGCAGTCACCTGCTGGACTCGGAATGCAGCAGTCACCTGCTGGACTCGGAATGCAGCAGTCACCTGCTGGACTCGGAATGCAGCAGTCACCTGCTGGACTCGGAATGCAGCAGTCACCTGCTGGACTCGGAATGCAGCAGTCACCTGCTGGACTCGGAATGCAGCAGTCACCTGCTGGACTCGGAATGCAGCAGTCACCTGCTGGACTCGGAATGCAGCAGTCACCTGCTGGACTCGGAATGCAGCAGTCACCTGCTGGACTCGGAATGCAGCAGTCACCTGCTGGACTCGGAATGCAGCAGTCACCTGCTGGACTCGGAATGCAGCAGTCACCTGCTGGACTCGGAATGCAGCAGTCACCTGCTGGACTCGGAATGCAGCAGTCACCTGCTGGACTCGGAATGCAGCAGTCACCTGCTGGACTCGGAATGCAGCAGTCACCTGCTGGACTCGGAATGCAGCAGTCACCTGCTGGACTTGGAATGCAGCAGTCATCTGCTGGACTCGGAATGCAGCAGTCACCTGCTGGACTCGGAATGCAGCAGTCACCTGCTGGACTCGGAATGCAGCAGTCACCTGCTGGACTCGGAATGCAGCAGTCACCTGTTGGACTCGGAATGCAGCAGTCACTTGATGGACTCGGAATGCAGCAGTCACCTGCTGGACTCGGAATGCAGCAGTCACCTGTTCGACTCGGAATGCAGCAGTCACCTGTTGGACTCGGAATGCAGCAGTCACCTGTTGGACTCGGAATGCAGCAGTCACCTGTTGGACTCGGAATGCAGCAGTCACCTGTTGGACTCGGAATGCAGCAGTCACATGTTGGACTCGGAATGCAGCAGTCACCTGCTGGACTCGGAATGCAGCAGTCACCTGCTGGACTCGGAATGCAGCAGTCACCTGTCGGACTCGGAATGCAGCAGTCACCTGTCGGACTCGGAATGCAGCAGTCACCTGCTGGAATCGGAATGCAGCAGTCACCTGCTGGACTCGGAATGCAGCAGTCACCTGCTGGACTCCGAATGCATCAGTCACCTGCTGGACTCGGAATGCATCAGTCACCTGCTGGACTCCGAATGCAGCAGTCACCTGTCGGACGCGGAATGCAGCAGTCACCTGTTGGACTCGGAATGCAGCAGTCACCTGCTGGACTCGGAATGCAGCAGTCACCTGCTGGACTCGGAATGCAGCAGTCACCTGCTGGACTCGGAATGCAGCAGTCACCTGCTGGACTCGGAATGCAGCAGTCACCTGCTGGACTCGGAATGCAGCAGTCACCTGTTGGACTCGGAATGCAGCAGTCACCTGCTGGACTCCGAATGCAGCAGTCACCTGCTGGACTCGGAATGCAGCAGTCACCTGCTGGACTCGGAATGCAGCAGTCACCTGCTGGACTCGGAATGCAGCAGTCACCTGCTGGACTCGGAATGCAGCAGTCACCTGTTGGACTCGGAATGCAGCAGTCACCTGTTGGACTCGGAATGCAGCAGTCACCTGTTGGACTCGGAATGCAGCAGTCACCTGTTGGACTCGGAATGCTGCAGTCACCTGTTGGACTCGGAATGCAGCAGTCACCTGTTGGACTCCGAATGCAGCAGTCACCTGTTGGACTCGGAATGCAGCAGTCACCTGCTGGACTCGGAATGCAGCAGTCACCTGCTGGACTCCGAATGCAGCAGTCACCTGCTCGACTCCGAATGCAGCAGTCACCTGTTGGACTCCGAATGCAGCAGTCACCTGCTGGACTCCGAATGCAGCAGTCACCTGTTGGACTCGGAATGCAGCAGTCACCTGTTGGACTCGGAATGCAGCAGTCACCTGTTGGACTCGGAATGCAGCAGTCACCTGTTGGACTCCGAATGCAGCAGTCATCTGGTGGACTCGGAATGCAGCAGTCACCTGCTGGACTCGGAATGCAGCAGTCACCTGCTGGACTCGGAATGCAGCAGTCACGAGTTGGACTCGGAATGCAGCAGTCACCTGTTGGACTCGGAATGCAGCAGTCACCTGGTGGACTCGGAATGCAGCAGTCACCTGCTGGACTCGGAATGCAGCAGTCACCTGTTGGACTCGGAATGCAGCAGTCACCTGTTGGACTCGGAATGCAGCAGTCACCTGCTGGACTCGAAATGCAGCAGTCACCCGCTGGACTCGGAATGCAGCAGTCACCTGCTGGACTCGGAATGCAGCATTCACCTGCTGGACTCGAAATGCAGCAGTCACCTGCTGGACTCGAAATGCAGCAGTCACCTGCTGGACTCGGAATGCAGCAGTCACCTGCTGGACTCGGAATGCAGCAGTCACCTGCTGGACTCGGAATGCAGCAGTCACCTGCTGGACTCGGAACGCAGAAGTCACCTGCTGGACTCGGAATGCAGCAGTCACCTGCTGGACTCGGAATGCAGCAGTCACCTGTTGGACTCGGAATGCAGCAGTCACCTGTTGGACTCGGAATGCAGCAGTCACCTGCTGGACTCGGAATGCAGCAGTCACCTGCTGGACTCGGAATGCAGCAGTCACCTGCTGGACTCGGAATGCAGCAGTCACCTGTTGGACTCGGAATGCAGCAGTCACCTGTTGGACTCGGAATGCAGCAGTCACCTGTTGGACTCGGAATGCAGCAGTCACCTGTTGGACTCGGAATGCAGCAGACACAAGCTGGACTCGGAATGCAGCAGTCACCAGCTGGACTCGGAATGCAGCAGTCACCTGTTGGACTCGGAATGCAGCAGTCACCTGCTGGACTCGGAATGCAGCAGTCACCTGCTGGACTCGGAATGCAGCAGTCACCTGCTGGACTCGGAATGCAGCAGTCACCTGTTGGACTCGGAATGCAGCAGTCACCTGTTGGACTCGGAATGCAGCAGTCACCTGTTGGACTCGGAATGCAGCAGTCACCTGTTGGACTCGGAATGCAGCAGACACAAGCTGGACTCGGAATGCAGCAGTCACCAGCTGGACTCGGAATGCAGCAGTCACCTGTTGGACTCGGAATGCAGCAGTCACCTGCTGGACTCGGAATGCAGCAGTCACCTGCTGGACTCGGAATGCAGCAGTCACCTGTTGGACTCGGAATGCAGCACTCACCTACTGGACTCGGAATGCAGCACTCACCTGCTGGACTCGGAATGCAGCACTCACCTGCTGGACTCGGAATGCAGCACTCACCTGCTGGACTCGGAATGCAGCAGTCACCTGCTGGACTCGGAATGCAGCAGTCACCTGCTGGACTCGGAATGCAGCAGTCACCTGCTGGACTCGTAATGCAGCAGTCACCTGCTGGACTCGGAATGCAGCAGTCACCTGCTGGACTCGGAATGCAGCAGTCACCTGTTGGACTCGGAATGCAGAAGTCACCTGTTGGACTCGTAATGCAGCAGTCACCTGTTGGACTCGGAATGCAGCAGTCACCTGCTGGACTCGGAATGCAACAGTCACCTGTTGGACTCGGAATACAGCAGTCACCTGTTGGACTCGGAATGCAGCAGTCACCTGTTGGACTCGAAATGCAGCAGTCACCTGTTGGACTCGGAATGCAGCAGTCACCTTTTGGACTCGGAATGCAGCAGTCACCTGCTGGACTCGGAATGCAGCAGACACAAGCTGGACTCGGAATGCAGCAGACACAAGCTGGACTCGGAATGCAGCAGTCACCAGCTGGACTCGGAATGCAGCAGTCACCTGTTGGACTCGGAATGCAGCAGTCACCTGTTGGACTCGGAATGCAGCAGTCACCTGTTGGACTCGGAATGCAGCAGTCACCTGCTGGACTCGGAATGCAGCAGTCACCTGCTGGACTCGGAATGCAGCAGTCACCTGTTGGACTCGGAATGCAGCAGTCACCTGTTGGACTCGGAATGCAGCAGTCACCTGCTGGACTCGGAATGCAGCAGTCACCTGCTGGACTCGGAATGCAGCAGTCACCTGCTGGACTCGGAATGCAGTAGTCACCTGTTGGACTCGGAATGCAGCAGTCACCTGTTGGACTCGGAATGCAGCAGTCACCTGTTGGACTCGGAATGAAGCAGTCACCTGTTGGACTCGGAATGCAGCAGTCACCTGTTGGACTCGGAATGCAGCAGTCACCTGTTGGACTCGGAATGCAGCAGTCACCTGCTGGACTCGGAATGCAGCAGTCACCTGCTGGACTCGGAATGCAGCAGTCACCTGCTGGACTCGGAATGCAGCAGTCACCTGCTGGACTCGGAATGCAGCAGTCACCTGTTGGACTCGGAATGCAGCAGTCACCTGCTGGACTCGGAATGCAGCAGTCACCTGCTGGACTCGGAATGCAGCAGTCACCTGCTGGACTCGGAATGCAGCAGTCACCTGTTGGACTCGGAATGCAGCAGTCACCTGCTGGACTCGGAATGCAGCAGTCACCTGTTGGACTCGGAATGCAGCAGTCACCTGTTGGACTCGGAATGCAGCAGTCACCTGCTGGACTCGGAATGCAGCAGTCACCTGCTGGACTCGGAATGCAGCAGTCACCTGTTCGACTCGGAATGCAGCAGTCACCTGCTGGACTCGGAATGCAGCAGTCACCTGCTGGACTCGTAATGCAGCAGTCACCTGCTGGACTCGGAATGCAGCAGTCACCTGCTGGACTCGGAATGCAGCAGTCACCTGTTGGACTCGGAATGCAGAAGTCACCTGTTGGACTCGTAATGCAGCAGTCACCTGTTGGACTCGGAATGCAGCAGTCACCTGCTGGACTCGGAATGCAACAGTCACCTGTTGGACTCGGAATACAGCAGTCACCTGTTGGACTCGGAATGCAGCAGTCACCTGTTGGACTCGAAATGCAGCAGTCACCTGTTGGACTCGGAATGCAGCAGTCACCTTTTGGACTCGGAATGCAGCAGTCACCTGCTGGACTCGGAATGCAGCAGACACAAGCTGGACTCGGAATGCAGCAGACACAAGCTGGACTCGGAATGCAGCAGTCACCAGCTGGACTCGGAATGCAGCAGTCACCTGTTGGACTCGGAATGCAGCAGTCACCTGTTGGACTCGGAATGCAGCAGTCACCTGTTGGACTCGGAATGCAGCAGTCACCTGCTGGACTCGGAATGCAGCAGTCACCTGCTGGACTCGGAATGCAGCAGTCACCTGTTGGACTCGGAATGCAGCAGTCACCTGTTGGACTCGGAATGCAGCAGTCACCTGCTGGACTCGGAATGCAGCAGTCACCTGCTGGACTCGGAATGCAGCAGTCACCTGCTGGACTCGGAATGCAGTAGTCACCTGTTGGACTCGGAATGCAGCAGTCACCTGTTGGACTCGGAATGCAGCAGTCACCTGTTGGACTCGGAATGCAGCAGTCACCTGTTGGACTCGGAATGCAGCAGTCACCTGTTGGACTCGGAATGCAGCAGTCACCTGTTGGACTCGGAATGCAGCAGTCACCTGCTGGACTCGGAATGCAGCAGTCACCTGCTGGACTCGGAATGCAGCAGTCACCTGCTGGACTCGGAATGCAGCAGTCACCTGCTGGACTCGGAATGCAGCAGTCACCTGTTGGACTCGGAATGCAGCAGTCACCTGCTGGACTCGGAATGCAGCAGTCACCTGCTGGACTCGGAATGCAGCAGTCACCTGCTGGACTCGGAATGCAGCAGTCACCTGTTGGACTCGGAATGCAGCAGTCACCTGCTGGACTCGGAATGCAGCAGTCACCTGTTGGACTCGGAATGCAGCAGTCACCTGTTGGACTCGGAATGCAGCAGTCACCTGCTGGACTCGGAATGCAGCAGTCACCTGCTGGACTCGGAATGCAGCAGTCACCTGTTCGACTCGGAATGCAGCAGTCACCTGCTGGACTCGGAATGCAGCAGTCACCTGCTGGACTCGGAATGCAGCAGTCACCTGCTGGACTCGGAATGCAGCAGTCACCTGCTGGACTCGGAATGCAGCAGTCACCTGTTGGACTCGGAATGCAGCAGTCACCTGTTGGACTCGGAATGCAGCAGTCACCTGCTGGACTCGGAATGCAGCAGTCACCTGCTGGACTCGGAATGCAGCAGTCACCTTCTGGACTCGTAATGCAGCAGTCACCTGTTGGACTCGGAATGCAGCAGTCACCTGTTGGACTCGGAATGCAGCAGTCACCTGTTGGACTCGGAATGCAGCCAACACTTGTTGGACTCGGAATGCAGCAGACACAAGCTGGACTCGGAATGCTGCAGTCACCAGCTGGACTCGGAATGCAGCAGTCACCTGTTGGACTCGGAATGCAGCAGTTACCTGCTGGACTCGGAATGCAGCACTCACCTGCTGGACTCGGAATGCAGCAGTCACCTGTTGGACTCGGAATGCAGCACTCACCTGCTGGACTCGGAATGCAGCACTCACCTGCTGGACTCGGAATGCAGCACTCACCTGCTGGACTCGGAATGCAGCAGTCACCTGCTGGACTCGGAATGCAGCAGTCACCTGCTGGACTCGGAATGCAGCAGTCACCTGCTGGACTCGGAATGCAGCAGTCACTTGCTGGACTCGTAATGCAGCAGTCACCTGCTGTACTCGGAATGCAGCAGTCACCTGCTGGACTCGGAACGCAGCAGTCACCTGTTGGACTCGGAATGCAGCAGTCACCTGTTGGACTCGGAATGCAGCAGTCACCTGCTGGACTCGGAATGCAGCAGTCACCTGCTGGACTCGGAATGCAGCAGTCACCTGTTGGACTCGGAATGCAGCAGTCACCTGTTGGACTCGGAATGCAGCAGTCACCTGCTGGACTCGGAATGCAGCAGTGTCCTGCTGGACTCGGAATGCAGCAGTCACCTGCTGGACTCGGAATGCAGCAGTCACCTGTTGGACTCGGAATGCAGCAGTCACCTGTTGGACTCGGAATGCAGCAGTCACCTGCTGGACTCGGAATGCAGCAGTCACCTGCTGGACTCGGAATGCAGCAGTCACCTGTTGGACTCGGAATGCAGCAGTCACCTGCTGGACTCGGAATGCAGCAGTCACCTGCTGGACTCGGAATGCAGCAGTCACCTGCTGGACTCGGAATGCAGCAGTCACCTGCTGGACTCGGAATGCAGCAGTCACCTGCTGGACTCGGAATGCAGCAGTCACCTGCTGGACTCGGAATGCAGCAGTCACCTGTTGGACTCGGAATGCAGCAGTCACCTGCTGGACTCGGAATGCAGCAGTCACCTGCTGGACTCGGAATGCAGCAGTCACCTGCTGGACTCGGAATGCAGCAGTCACCTGCTGGACTCGGAATGCAGCAGTCACCTGTTGGACTCGGAATGCAGCAGTCACTTGCTGGACTCGGAATGCAGCAGTCACCTGTTGGACTCGGAATGCAGCAGTCACCTGTTGGACTCGGAATGCAGCAGTCACCTGCTGGACTCGGAATGCAGCAGTCACCTGCTGGACTCGGAATGCAGCAGTCACCTGTTCGACTCGGAATGCAGCAGTCACCTGCTGGACTCGGAATGCAGCAGTCACCTGCTGGACTCGGAATGCAGCAGTCACCTGCTGGACTCGGAATGCAGCAGTCACCTGCTGGACTCGGAATGCAGCAGTCACCTGTTGGACTCGGAATGCAGCAGTCACCTGTTGGACTCGGAATGCAGCAGTCACCTGTTGGACTCGGAATGCAGCAGTCACCTGCTGGACTCGGAATGCACAGTCACCTGCTGGACTCGGAATGCAGCAGTCACCTGCTGGACTCGGAATGCAGCAGTCACCTGTTGGACTCGGAATGCAGCAGTTACCTGCTGGACTCGGAATGCAGCACTCACCTGCTGGACTCGGAATGCAGCAGTCACCTGTTGGACTCGGAATGCAGCAGTCACCTGTCGGACACGGAATGCAGCAGTCACCTGTCGGACTCGGAATGCAGCAGTCACCTGTCGGACTCGGAATGCAGCAGTCACCTGCTGGACTCGGAATGCAGCAGTCACCTGCTGGACTCCGAATGCAGCAGTCACCTGCTGGACTCGGAATGCAGCAGTCACCTGCTGGACTCGGAATGCAGCAGTCACCTGCTGGACTCGGAATGCAGCAGTCACCTGTTGGACTCGGAATGCAGCAGTCACCCGTTGGACTCGGAATGCAGCAGTCACCTGTTGGACTCGGAATGCAGCAGTCACCTGTTGGACTCGGAATGCAGCAGTCACCTGTTGGACTCGGAATGCAGCAGTCACCTGTTGGACTCGGAATGCAGCAGTCACCTGTTGGACTCGGAATGCAGCAGTCACCTGTTGGACTCGGAATGCAGCAGTCACCTGTCGGACTCGGAATGCAGCAGTCACCTGCTGGACTCGGAATGCAGCAGTCACCTGTTGGACTCGTAATGCAGCAGTCACCTGCTGGACTCGGAATGCAGCAGTCACCTGCTGGACTCGGAATGCAGCAGTCACCTGTTGGACTCGGAATGCAGCAGTCACCTGCTGGACTCGGAATGCAGCAGTCACCTGCTGGACTCGGAATGCAGCAGTCACCTGCTGGACTCGGAATGCAGCAGTCACCTGCTGGACTCGGAATGCAGCAGTCACCTGCTGGACTCGGAATGCAGCAGTCACCTGCTGGACTCGGAATGCAGCAGTCACCTGTTGGACTCGGAATGCAGCAGTCACCTGTTGGACTCGGAATGCAGCAGTCACCTGCTGGACTCGGAATGCAGCAGTGTCCTGCTGGACTCGGAATGCAGCAGTCACCTGTCGGACTCGGAATGCAGCAGTCACTTGTCGGACTCGGAATGCAGCAATCACCTGCTGGACTCGGAATGCAGCAGTCACCTGCTGGACTCGGAATGCAGCAGTCACCTGTTGGACTCGGAATGCAGCAGTCACCTGCTGGACTCGGAATGCAGCAGTGTCCTGCTGGACTCGGAATGCAGCAGTCACTTGTCGGACTCGGAATGCAGCAATCACCTGCTGGACTCGGAATGCAGCAGTCACCTGCTGGACTCGGAATGCAGCAGTCACCTGTTGGACTCGGAATGCAGCAGTCACCTGCTGGACTCGGAATGCAGCAGTCACCTGCTGGACTCGGAATGCAGCAGTCACCTGTTGGACTCGGAATGCAGCAGTCACCTGCTGGACTCGGAATGCAGCAGTCACCTGCTGGACTCGGAATGCAGCAGTCACCTGCTGGACTCGGAATGCAGCAGTCACCTGCTGGACTCCGAATGCAGCAGTCACCTGCTGGACTCGGAATGCAGCAGTCACCTGCTGGACTCGGAATGCAGCAGTCACCTGTTGGACTCGGAATGCAGCACTCACCTGCTGGACTCGGAATGCAGCACTCACCTGCTGGACTCGGAATGCAGCACTCACCTGCTGGACTCGGAATGCAGCAGTCACCTGCTGGACTCGGAATGCAGCAGTCACCCGTTGGACTCGGAATGCAGCAGTCACCTGTTGGACTCGGAATGCAGCAGTCACCTGTTGGACTCGGAATGCAGCAGTCACCTGTTGGACTCGGAATGCAGCAGTCACCTGTTGGACTCGGAATGCAGCAGTCACCTGTTGGACTCGGAATGCAGCAGTCACCTGTTGGACTCGGAATGCAGCAGTCACCTGTCGGACTCGGAATGCAGCAGTCACTTGTCGGACTCGGAATGCAGCAATCACCTGCTGGACTCGGAATGCAGCAGTCACCTGCTGGACTCGGAATGCAGCAGTCACCTGTTGGACTCGGAATGCAGCAGTCACCTGCTGGACTCGGAATGCAGCAGTCACCTGCTGGACTCGGAATGCAGCAGTCACCTGTTGGACTCGGAATGCAGCAGTCACCTGCTGGACTCGGAATGCAGCAGTCACCTGCTGGACTCGGAATGCAGCAGTCACCTGCTGGACTCGGAATGCAGCAGTCACCTGCTGGACTCGGAATGCAGCAGTCACCTGCTGGACTCGGAATGCAGCAGTCACCTGCTGGACTCGGAATGCAGCAGTCACCTGCTGGACTCGGAATGCAGCAGTCACCTGCTGGACTCGGAATGCAGCAGTCACCTGCTGGACTCGGAATGCAGCAGTCACCTGCTGGACTCGGAATGCAGCAGTCACCTGCTGGACTCGGAATGCAGCAGTCACCTGCTGGACTCGGAATGCAGCAGTCACCTGCTGGACTCGGAATGCAGCAGTCACCTGCTGGACTCGGAATGCAGCAGTCACCTGCTGGACTCGGAATGCAGCAGTCACCTGCTGGACTCGGAATGCAGCAGTCACCTGCTGGACTCGGAATGCAGCAGTCACCTGCTGGACTCGGAATGCAGCAGTCACCTGCTGGACTCGGAATGCAGCAGTCACCTGCTGGACTCGGAATGCAGCACTCACCTGCTGGACTCGGAATGCAGCACTCACCTGCTGGACTCGGAATGCAGCAGTCACCTGCTGGACTCGGAATGCAGCAGTCACCTGCTGGACTCGGAATGCAGCAGTCACCCGTTGGACTCGGAATGCAGCAGTCACCTGTTGGACTCGGAATGCAGCAGTCACCTGTTGGACTCGGAATGCAGCAGTCACCTGTTGGACTCGGAATGCAGCAGTCACCTGTTGGACTCGGAATGCAGCAGTCACCTGTTGGACTCGGAATGCAGCAGTCACCTGTTGGACTCGGAATGCAGCAGTCACCTGTCGGACTCGGAATGCAGCAGTCACTTGTCGGACTCGGAATGCAGCAATCACCTGCTGGACTCGGAATGCAGCAGTCACCTGCTGGACTCGGAATGCAGCAGTCACCTGTTGGACTCGGAATGCAGCAGTCACCTGCTGGACTCGGAATGCAGCAGTCACCTGCTGGACTCGGAATGCAGCAGTCACCTGTTGGACTCGGAATGCAGCAGTCACCTGCTGGACTCGGAATGCAGCAGTCACCTGCTGGACTCGGAATGCAGCAGTCACCTGCTGGACTCGGAATGCAGCAGTCACCTGCTGGACTCGGAATGCAGCAGTCACCTGCTGGACTCGGAATGCAGCAGTCACCTGCTGGACTCGGAATGCAGCAGTCACCTGTTGGACTCGGAATGCAGCAGTCACCTGTTGGACTCGGAATGCAGCAGTCACCTGCTGGACTCGGAATGCAGCAGTGTCCTGCTGGACTCGGAATGCAGCAGTCACCTGCTGGACTCGGAATGCAGCAGTCACCTGTTGGACTCGGAATGCAGCAGTCACCTGTTGGACTCGGAATGCAGCAGTCACCTGTTGGACTCGGAATGCAGCAGTGTCCTGCTGGACTCGGAATGCAGCAGTCACCTGCTGGACTCCGAATGCAGCAGTCACCTGCTGGACTCGGAATGCAGCAGTCACCTGCTGGACTCGGAATGCAGCAGTCACCTGCTGGACTCGGAATGCAGCAGTCACCTGTTGGACTCGGAATGCAGCAGTCACCCGTTGGACTCGGAATGCAGCAGTCACCTGTTGGACTCGGAATGCAGCAGTCACCTGTTGGACTCGGAATGCAGCAGTCACCTGTTGGACTCGGAATGCAGCAGTCACCTGTTGGACTCGGAATGCAGCAGTCACCTGTTGGACTCGGAATGCAGCAGTCACCTGTTGGACTCGGAATGCAGCAGTCACCTGTTGGACTCGGAATGCAGCAGTCACCTGTTGGACTCGGAATGCAGCAGTCACCTGTTGGACTCGGAATGCAGCAGTCACCTGTTGGACTCGGAATGCAGCAGTCACCTGTCGGACTCGGAATACAGCAGTCACCTGTCGGACTCGGAATGCAGCAGTCACCTGTCGGACTCGGAATGCAGCAGTCACCTGCTGGACTCGGAATGCAGCAGTCACCTGCTGGACTCGGAATGCAGCAGTCACCTGCTGGACTCGGAATGCAGCAGTCACCTGCTGGACTCGGAATGCAGCAGTCACCTGCTCGACTCGGAATGCAGCAGTCACCTGCTGGACTCGGAATGCAGCAGTCACCTGCTGGACTCGGAATGCAGCAGTCACCTGCTGGACTCGGAATGCAGCAGTCACCTGCTGGACTCGGAATGCAGCAGTCACCTGCTGGACTCGGAATGCAGCAGTCACCTGCTGGACTCGGAATGCAGCAGTCACCTGCTGGACTCGGAATGCAGCAGTCACCTGCTGGACTCGGAATGCAGCAGTCACCTGCTGGACTCGGAATGCAGCAGTCACCTGCTGGACTCGGAATGCAGCAGTCACCTGCTGGACTCGGAATGCAGCAGTCACCTGCTGGACTCGGAATGCAGCAGTCACCTGCTGGACTCGGAATGCAGCAGTCACCTGCTGGACTCGGAATGCAGCAGTCACCTGCTGGACTCGGAATGCAGCAGTCACCTGCTGGACTCGGAATGCAGCAGTCACCTGCTGGACTCGGAATGCAGCAGTCACCTGCTGGACTCGGAATGCAGAAGTCACCTGCTGGACTCGGAATGCAGCAGTCACCTGCTGGACTCGGAATGCAGCAGTCACCTGCTGGACTCGGAATGCAGCAGTCACCTGCTGGACTCGGAATGCAGCAGTCACCTGCTGGACTCGGAATGCAGCAGTCACCTGCTGGACTCGAAATGCAGCAGTCACCTGCTGGACTCGGAATCCAGCAGTCACCTGCTGGACTCGGAATGCAGCAGTCACCTGCTGGACTCCGAATGCAGCAGTCACCTGCTGGACTCCGAATGCAGCAGTCACCTGCTGGACTCGGAATGCAGCAGTGTCCTGCTGGACTCGGAATGCAGCAGTCACTTGTCGGACTCGGAATGCAGCAATCACCTGCTGGACTCGGAATGCAGCAGTCACCTGCTGGACTCGGAATGCAGCAGTCACCTGTTGGACTCGGAATGCAGCAGTCACCTGCTGGACTCGGAATGCAGCAGTCACCTGCTGGACTCGGAATGCAGCAGTCACCTGTTGGACTCGGAATGCAGCAGTCACCTGCTGGACTCGGAATGCAGCAGTCACCTGCTGGACTCGGAATGCAGCAGTCACCTGCTGGACTCGGAATGCAGCAGTCACCTGCTGGACTCGGAATGCAGCAGTCACCTGCTGGACTCGGAATGCAGCAGTCACCTGCTGGACTCGGAATGCAGCAGTCACCTGTTGGACTCGGAATGCAGCAGTCACCTGCTGGACTCGGAATGCAGCAGTCACCTGCTGGACTCGGAATGCAGCAGTCACCTGCTGGACTCGGAATGCAGCAGTCACCTGCTGGACTCGGAATGCAGCAGTCACCTGCTGGACTCGGAATGCAGCAGTCACCTGCTGGACTCGGAATGCAGCAGTCACCTGCTGGACTCGGAATGCAGCAGTCACCTGCTGGACTCGGAATGCAGCAGTCACCTGCTGGACTCGGAATGCAGCAGTCACCTGCTGGACTCGGAATGCAGCAGTCACCTGCTGGACTCGGAATGCAGCAGTCACCTGCTGGACTCGGAATGCAGCAGTCACCTGCTGGACTCGGAATGCAGAAGTCACCTGCTGGACTCGGAATGCAGCAGTCACCTGCTGGACTCGGAATGCAGCAGTCACCTGCTGGACTCGGAATGCAGCAGTCACCTGCTGGACTCGGAATGCAGCAGTCACCTGCTGGACTCGGAATGCAGCAGTCACCTGCTGGACTCGAAATGCAGCAGTCACCTGCTGGACTCGGAATGCAGCAATCACCTGCTGGACTCGGAATGCAGCAGTCACCTGCTGGACTCGGAATCCAGCAGTCACCTGCTGGACTCGGAATGCAGCAGTCACCTGCTGGACTCGGAATGCAGCACTCACCTGCTGGACTCGGAATGCAGCAGTCACCTGCTGGACTCGGAATGCAGCAGTCACCTGCTGGACTCCGAATGCAGCAGTCACCTGCTGGACTCGGAATGCAGCAGTCACCTGTTGGACTCGGAATGCAGCAGTCACCTGTTGGACTCGGAATTCAGCAGTCACCTGTTGGACTCGGAATGCAGCAGTCACCTGTTGGACTCGGAATGCAGCAGTCACCTGCTGGACTCGGAATGCAGCAGTCACCTGCTGGACTCGGAATGCAGCAGTCACCTGCTGGACTCGGAATGCAGCAGTCACCTGTTGGACTCGGAATGCAGCAGTCACCTGTTGGACTCGGAATGCAGCAGTCACCTGTTGGACTCGGAATGCAGCAGTCACCTGCTGGACTCCGAATGCAGCAGTCACCTGCTGGACTCCGAATGCAGCAGTCACCTGCTGGACTCGGAATGCAGCAGTCACCTGTTGGACTCGGAATGCAGCAGTCACCCGTTGGACTCGGAATGCAGCAGTCACCCGTTGGACTCGGAATGCAGCAGTCACCTGTTGGACTCGGAATGCAGCAGTCACCTGTTGGACTCGGAATGCAGCAGTCACCTGTTGGACTCGGCAAACGCATTCAGCAGCGCAGCCCCATCGCCCGTGCGTGCGAACGGAATCATGTCGTCGTGCAGAAACGGCGCCTTGGCGACGCGATCGCGAATCTTGTTGCCGAAACGCGCGCCGATCGCACAGCCGCGCTCGAACGGGCTGCCAGCCACCTCGAGCCGCTCTAGCGGCCTGGGGATTGCCGACGCGCTCGCTGCACACACGTTTACTGACGTGGCTCTGGCTGACGTGGCGCGTACGGGGGAATTGAGGGATGGAGAGAGTAGGCTGGCGGATGCGACTGGTGGTCGCACGGCGACTGGCGAGGGAGTCATATTCGCGCCTGCGACGGTGGGAGCCATGGCGAAAAGCGAAGTCAGATTCAGCAGGCATTGTTGAAGGCGCAATGATTTCAACGATAAGTACGCCACACGATATCGTAGCGCGGGGCTGACGCAGTTTCGGCTACTTTGACGATCATGGCGCGAGAGGAACGAACTCGACGCGCGAAACTCACTCTGTGCACTTCGGGAGGTGAGAGCTGACGGGTCACGTCACGAGGGATGTGCTCGCGTCACCGCCTTGCTTTCCTTAGTAAGGCGCTGGCTTGGGGTTGTGGTGGATGAGTCCGCCGCTTGTTGCTCTGGTGTTTAGGTAGCGACGTGGGAGAGTAGTCTAGACTGCAGTCAAGCATCGTGGTTTCGATTCTACATAACTAACGCATTCCAACTATCGCGTGATAAAACTGAGAAACTGGAGTTCGCGTTTCTGATGAAGGCGTGGATCTACATGCGGTTGCTGCGACTCGGCAGGGCATAGGTGAAAAGGGCTGGACGAAAGATGCTAGGCTTGAAAACGAGTATGACAACTCTGGAACATGTTTTGTCCGGATAAGGGCTGGACGAAACATGCAGGCTTGAAAACGAGTTTTCCCCAACAAATACTAGAACATGTTTTCGGCTACTTTGATTATCTTAAGCACTTTGAGATTCATATTGCCCTTCCACGTGCGTTCTTGGTTAGCGTTGGCCGCTGGCAAACAAATAAACCTTATTAGGATGGTATGGCATCTGGGGGCATCAACGGTAAACACCTTGCTCCTGGTATTTAGGGTCGTTGCCTCCTACTGTATTATCCCGTATATAGAACCCTCCGATAAGAGAGTCCCACGGGACTCATATGGGGGGGAGGGGGGGAGAGGGGGAGAGGGGGAGCGGGGGGGTATGCTTATTAAAGACCAATATGTGAGGAACCCCTTTCCCACACAGCTATTTGAAGACAACCCCCTCCCCCGCCATCCACCCTCTCCCCCCCCCACCCCCCTCCCTCCCTTGCCTAGAATTACCCTTTTGTGAGAAAATTTCGTCACTGAATTTAGCAGAAGATGGTACCTTATAGTGACAACACCACTACCGTGATTGAGCAAATGCTTAGAGGGCACATATGAACGCAATCGCAAGTCAAGATAAACTACCGCTACGTTAACTATGGTAACATGCTACTCATTCCTCTCACGTAGTGCTACAAATTGTCCTAACTGTAAAATGTTGTAGTCTCAGTTATGTGTGCTATAGGGGGTACAACTGTTAGGGTTAGGTTTATATACCCCAACCAACCTTAGTCAAACTAACACTTTCATTCTTGACATGGTATCACCTAGGTTAGGATCCTGTGGGATCCCGTTCCTCTCGTTCACGTCCGTAGTGCCCGAGCCTGTCCCGTACCCTAGTGCCCGTTACGCGCGTACGGTCCCCTAGCGCCTATTGCGCTGGTCTCTCTCGTGCCCTAGCGCCCGCTGCGCTTGCCGTCGCGTCCCCACTACTGTCCCGTCCCGTCCCGTCGCCCCTGCTCTCCCGTCCCATCCCGTCGCCCCTGCTGTCCCGTCCCGTCCCGTCGCCCCTGCTGTCCCGTCGCGTCGCCCCTGCTGTCCCGTCCCGTTCCGTCGCCCCTGCTGTCCCGTCCCGTCCCGTCGCCCCTGCTGTCCCGTCGCCCCTGCTGTCCCGTCGCGTCGCCCCTGCTGTCCCGTCCCGTCCCGTTGCCCCTGCTGTCCCGTCCGTCGCGCCCCTGCTGCGCCCTGCCCGTCCGTCGCGCCCCGTGCGCCCTGCCCGTCCGTCGCGCCCCGTGCGCCCTGCCCGTCCGTCGCGCCCCCGCTGCACCCTGCCCGTCCGTCGCGCCCCGTGCAACCTGCCTGTCCGCACCTGTCCCGCCCGTCCGTGCCAGTTGCGTCCTATCCCTTCGCGTCGCACTGTCTGTCACGCCCTACGCATGCCCTTTAGGCGTTTAGGGTTTCGGCAACAGCGGTTACCATCTCTTAGCTTCCGCTATGGCGGCCCCTAAAGGTCCTGCGTTTTGACACCAAGGTTAGGCCGCTTGAGTTCTCAGTCTGGCTCTTGCGTGCGCGACGCCTTTTAGAGAGTCAGGTTCAGATGAGTCTCTGTGGGCGCACGCTTCTGGCGACCTTCCTAGCCCGACGACCCTGCACCCTTAGCAGCAACCTCCGTTCGATGGCCTCTGCCTCTGGTGCTGTGCCCCCTCCACTGTTTCACGGGTGCACTGTCCCTCAGCTGCCCAAATTTACTGCCTCCTTCGCCACTGCCGCTACTGACGTGACCACAGCTGCTGCTACGACATCTTCGCGGTCTCAGGGTAGGAGTGGCAGGAGGGGCGGTCAAGGTGCGGGCGGAGGCGGCGGAGGCGATGGGGGTGACGTGGCGAGCGGCGGCGACGGGAGTGCAGGGGCTGGAGGAGCGCCTCGTGCAGCGGCCGGTGACTCCCCTGCTGCAGCTGGTGGAGGTGCCGCCCGGGTTCGTCAGCCACCTACTGGTCTGCCAGCTGCAGGGGGTGGAGCAGCGGCGTGGTACCTGACTCAGCGACAGCAGCAGCAGCAGCAGCCGCCCCTACCCTCGCAGCAGCCACAGCAGCAGCGGCAGCAGCAGGTTTCGGTGCAGGGGTCAAGACAGCGTCAGCTGCGGCGCGGTGTCGTCCACCCTCCTTGCACCTATCACGTTCTGACAGGTGCCCGTCGCGGCCAGCCTTGTGGTCGCAGCCACCCACCGGGTCAGTGTTTTGCTCAACTTACTGACACGGTTCGGTTGGCCTACGGCGTTGACGGCCCTGCCCCTGACTGGCTTTCCCTTGTTCAGACGTACGGCCTGGCTCTGTGGGGCATGTCGGAATCTCAGCTGGTTGATCTCTTAGGAAATCCTCATGCTATGTATGATGTTGTTGACTCTAGTGCTTCTGACTCTGTTTACTAGAGTGTTGTTAGCTTAGGTGCTAGTCTTGCTGAGGTGCCTGTTGCTAGTGTAGGTACTTGTGTAGACACTACTCCAGGAGCTGCTCCGGAGGACGCTTCGTTGTCTTTCACTCTGGACTCCGGAGCTTCGCATAGTTTCTTCCGCGACCGCACGACACTTACCCCGTTTCGTACGCCAGTCTCTGTAGCACTGGCTGATCCCACTTCGGGACCAGTCACTGCTCGCTACACTACTACGCTTCCATGTCCGGCTGTTTCCTCGGGTTTCCTAACCGGCTTCCACGTCCCCTCGTCTTCGAGGAACTTGGTGGGCATAAGGCCGCGCATGAGTCAGCACGTGGTTGTGTGGATTGAGCCTTCTAGCGAGACTGCGGTTTGTGTCGACGGGGACACGTACACGCCTCTCGCCACCTTTACCGCTGAGCCGGGCTCTGGTCTCTACACACTTCACATTGACCCCCAACAGCAGCAGCAGCAGCAGCGGCAGCGGCCCCGACCCCTGTCACTACCCCCCGTCAGGTTCCCGCGTCTCACCAGGTTGCCGCGTCTCACCAGGTAGCTATGTCGGGTCAAGTTCCCATGTCTGGTCCAGTTGCCGCGTCTTGCTCCTGCCGGTCGCTTGCTCACCCCACCGTTCTGTGGCACCACCGCATGGGGCACCCGTCTATTCCTCGCCTGCGCACTATGTCTCTCAGGCCTCCCACGTGTCTTGCCGTCGCTGCCGCCTTCGCTTGCACCACCTTGCGGTCCCTGCGTCGAGGGTTAGCTGCGCGCCACCCCTCACTCCTCCTCCCTTCGTCCGGCCACCGAGCCCTTTGAGACTCTCCACTTGGACGTCTGGGGCCCCGCCCCTCGCCCTGGCCCTGAGCGAGAGAGTTTCTTTCTGGTGGTCGTTGATGACTGCTCTCGCTACACCACAGTGTTTCCCCTGGCGAAGAAGTCTGAGGTGATTTCTACGCTGATCCGCTAGTTACTTACCACTGCGGACACTCGTGGTCGTCGTGTCAGCTGTCTTCACTCCGACCGCGGGGGTAAGTTTCGCTCCGGCATTCTCGCTGGATTTTGTCGCGAGCAGGGCATCCGTCCGTGTTGGACGCTTCCAGAGTCCCCACAGCAGAATGGGGTTGCTGAGCGCCGCATAGGCTTAGTCATGGAGATTGCACGCACCTCCATGATCCACGCCTGTGCGCCCCATTTTCTGTGGCTCTACGCGGTTCGGTACGCCGCTCACCAGCTGAACCTCTGGCCACATGTCTCTCGGCCAGAGGCTTTACCGACCAGTCTTTGGACCGGGTCCCTTGGTGCTGTGTCGCGTTTTCATGTCTAGGGCTGCTTGGCGCTTGTTCGCGACACCTCCGCGGACAAGCTCTCCCCTCGCGCCCTTCCCTGTGTCTTCCTTGGTTTCCCCGAGGACTCCTCTGACTTCACCTTTTACCACCCCCCCCTTTACCGGTTCTTTGACTCCCGTGACGTTCGTTTTGTCGAGTCAGTCCCCTACTACACCCGGTACCCCTGTCGAGGTCTCCCGGTTCCTCCTCCCCCTCTCTTCCTGACTCCCGCTCCCCCTCCTGCCCCTCCGATACAGCAACCCCCCCCCCCCCCCCCTGATCCAGCTCCGTCAGGTGTGTCACACGCTACCCCCCCCCCCCCCCCCGGTTGCCCCTCAGGTGCCGCCCCCTTCCCCACAGTCATCTTCACGGCCTACTGCAGATCCACCGGGAGCAGGTGCTCGTGTCGAGGACCTTGGGGGTGTCACCTCTGGAGGTGTTGGAGTTAGAGCTGAGACAGTGCCTGCACGAGGCCCTGATGCTGGGGGTGCTGGAGTTGGAGCTGAGCCCGTGTCTATAGGAGGTTCTAGCCTTCGGGGAGCTGGTGTTGGTCGAGCTGTCCCTGGGGATGCTACGACTGGGGGTGCGGATGCGCCCTCTACGG